ACACGACCATGCCTTGTGCTTCTGTCCATTTCTCCAGTTTTGTCATGTTGCTTAAAGTAAGTTTTCTCAAAACTGGAAATGGTGTAATTGAATCTCCTCTGCCTTGGCTGTTGCTTGCGCACCATGTTTTGAGCTCTGAGCAATCCCCAATATGCAACTCCTCAAGGCAAGAAAACACAACCATGCCTTGTGCTGTTTTCCATCCCTCCAGATTTGTCATCTTACTTAATGTTAGTTTTCTCAAAGCTGGAAATGGTAGGATTGATTCTCCTTCACCTTGGCTGTTGCTTGCACACCAGGTTTCGAGCTCCGGGCAATCCCCAATTTGCAACTCCTCAAGGCAAGGAAACACAACCATGCCTTGTGCTTCTGTCCATTTCTCCAGTTTTGTCATGTTGCTTAAAGTAAGTTTTCTCAAAGCTGGAAATGGTGTAATTGAATCTGCTCTGCCTTGGCTGTTGCTTGCGCACCATGTTTTGAGCTCCGGGCAATCCTCAATATGCAACTCCTCAAGGCAAGGAAACACAACCATGCCTTGTGCTTCTGTCCATTTCTCCAGCTTTGTCATGTTGCTTAAAGTAAGTTTTTTCAAATCTGGAAATGGTGTAATTGAATCTCCTCTGCCTTGGCTGTTGCTTACGCACCATGTTTTGAGCTCTGGGCAATCTCCAATATGCAACTCCTTAAGGCAAGGAAACACGACCATGCCTTGTGCATCTGTCCATTTCTCCAGTTTTGCCATGTTACTTAAAGTAAGTTCTCTCAAAGCTGGAAATGGTGTAATTGAATCTCCTCTGCCTTGGCTGTTGCTTGCACACCATGTTTTGAGCTCTGGGCAATCCCCAATATGCAACTCCTCAAGGCAAGGAAACACGACCATGTCTTGTGCCCCTGTCCATTCCTCCAGCTGTGTCATGTTACTTAACTTGAGTTTTCTCAAAGCTGGAAATGGTTTTATTGATTGTCCCCCACCTTGGCTGCTGCTTGCCATGCTGCTGTTTCGATGATAAGACATTTTGCCTATCTTCTTCACATTTGGCATTGCCTTTATATTGAGAACCTTAAGCTGAGGTAAGATTTCAAGGCATGAAATATCACCACATTCATCACAATCAATCAATTTCAACTTCACAAGCTGTTCCAAATTCATCATCCATGAAGGGCAGTTGTCTCCCCTATAATTCTCAATGGTTAAGCTTTTCAATGTTGAGGGAGGTTGAAGACCTTTCAGAACACCCATATCTTGGTTGCTGTTGACTCTGTTTTTACTCCATACAAATTGCAACTTGATCAATTTTCCTTTATCTTTAAGTTTTGCTTTACTAGCCTCTGATTGAGGTACTAGCTCAAGCTTGCAAATTTTCAGTTTTCCTCTGAGTTCCTTCAATTTTCCAAGCTCTTCAATTCTCCGACCCTTTTTTGTGCCCACAACAAATAGCGGTAAAGTCTGAAGAGAAGCTAATTTCCCAATGCTACTTGGCACATGCCTTTCATCATCAAAATAAATATGCCTCAAGCTGACTAGATTTTCAAAACCACTTGGGAGCTTTTCCAATGAATTGCAGCCTGTGAATCTCAAAGTCTGCAAATTGTAGAGCTTGGTGACAGATTTTGGTAGTCTCTTAATTGCACTTCCTGATATGTCAAGGTATTTCAGGTAATATTTCAATCCGCCAAGAGCAGATTCCAACTCATTTGCATCAGCAGCTGCTAGCTTTAAAGATTGCAAACCTCCGAACTTCTTAGGCATCAGGCACAAAATATCAACATCCAAGAACAAAGAGCGCAACCTTTGAGCAACACCTTCTGGAACATCTTGAAGTTTTTCAGCAGACTGAACCCTCATATGCCGAATACTCTCCTCAACTGGATGGGTATCTGGCCAAATATATGTTTCACATTTTGCTGAAAGCAATGCAAGATTATGCACCTCATCATGCATCTTGCAAAACTTTATATTCCCGCACTCATCCATCTCCACGTCTTCCAATAAGTAATTGGATACCAAATCATTGACGTACCTGTTACCAACATCTTCTTCTTTATCAGATTGGCCGTCATTAGATTTGGAAAGAAACCCATTAGCCATCCAACACTGAACTAATTCATCTCTACTAATTTTAACAATTTTTTCTTTTGGAAAAATTGAACAGAAAGAAAAGCATCTTTTCAAATGCGGAGGCAACTGATCATAACCTTTTTTCAGTTGAGACAGAATCTCCTGTCTATGTGGTGCATGCCATGCCTTATCATCTCTGATAGCTGACCACTCATCTACCCCAATATGAACGCCCAAATGTTTGCCAAAGACAGCTGCAACTAATGGCAAACCGCCACACTGTTTTGCAATAGCTTTTCCAATAAGCAACAACTGTGGATCTTCTATTGGAGTTCCATTGGACGATCTGAGAAAATTCTCCTCCATTATCAACCAGCAGGCATCATCTGATAGCTTTTGCAATTCATGCTTATGCAAAGGAATTGTGTCCATTATTGAAGCTACCTCTTTATTACTAGTTGTTATGACAACAGAGATCCTAGCAGTTTTGAACCTTTGTGGCAGACGAGAGATGAACTCTTTCAACCCCCGAGCATCTTCTTCATTGCATACACCATCAAGGATGAGAAGAATTTTTTTATTTTCTAACTTTGGTTTAAGATGATGAAGTATTTGACCGATCTCTGTCATTCCAGCAGCAAGGCTATCAAGATATTGCAACATCTGTCCTAAAATCATCTCTTCTTTAAGATCCTTACGTACCGGCACCCAGGCCACCAGACTGGAGGGGTGATTTTCCCTTGCCCTCACATATATTGATCTAGCTAATGTTGTCTTTCCAACACCTGGCATGCCAACTATGGAAAGGCCAGAGAGGCGATGCTCCTGGCTCAACTCATCCAGCAAACTTTCAATTTTTGAGACATCAGCATCCCTTCCCAAAACTTCAGAATTATAGAATGACTCATTAGCTTCTTCTAGCCTAGGAGCTTCACGATTTTGGTTGTCTTTTATCAGTGTAATAATCTCTGAGTCTCGTACAATGCCATCGAAAGACACATTAATCTCCTTAATTTTGCTAAGCATGGATTTGGAGGGAGAAAGGAAATTGTGCACCTGTTTCTTGAATTGGCTTTGAATCCGACCTTTCTGCCGGTGAACTCCATATGCATGCTCATCCAGCAGAACCCGCAGATCATCAGCTGCATCTTGGATCCTCTGCAGCCAACCCCTTGTGCCTTCATCACTTTGCATTTGATCTGCATTTATGAGCACAGATTTCATCAATTTGAGCCTCTGCTGCAGCGTCTCCAGCTCCGCCTTCAAATTCCAGAGTTGTCTGATTCTACTGTCGAGCAGCGAAGCAACTCTAGAGAGTGCCTGGTCAATAACAGGGACAACGAGGAGGGTGATAAGGATATCAGCCATTATGTATGCAAGTGCAGACGTAGAGAAACGATTGCAAACACAATTTGAATTCTAATGGGAGGAGAGGAAAGGGGGATAGCTTTCGAAGAGCAGCAACCGTATTTAGATCGAGGTTTTGAACCTCAGAATTTGGGGTGTTTGACTTTGACGGAACTTTTATTTTTGAGTTTTTGCAAGTTTTATTTTTTCCTTTATAAAATTAAATTTAAGGATTAAATTGATGGAGAAAAAGTGGAAATTAAGATATTTTATACTTTAAATGTTAAAAAGTTTTTATGATATTATTTAAATATTATTAAAAATGTGTATTGGTTTTTTAAAAATATTTTAATTTTTTTATTATTAATTTTGATATTTTAATATTAAAGTATCTTAATTTTTTTAATTTTAAATTTAAATTAGTTTTTATAGATTATGCCTTTAGTATACTTTTGGCGAGTCA